TCAAGAAATTTGCTTCCCTTAAAGTTGCAGTAGCACAAGTGTCTTCCCCGAACAAATTGGCAAAAACATCATGAAAAGAGATTGTGAAAGGCTATTATTTAAAATTATAATATATATATATATATTATGAATATTTTTGCTTTTTAAGTTTTAAGGACTTGTTCTCTAAGAATTACTACAATCTAACAAATTTTGATAAAAACAACATATTTGTAAGTAGAAAAATTACAAAATACTTACATCTCATATTATACTACATCAAATGTTACAAAGTGCATGTTCGAGTGACTCTATCAAAAAATAAGTAAATCATATTTTTTAACAACTATATAAGAAATTATTTAATTTTTTATAGAAAAATAAAAATAAAATATTAATAGTATATCCGAGCTTATATAATCAGGTTTTGTACTACTAAATCTTGTAATATAAGGTATAATCCTAGTGATTTGTACAAAATGAAAAATAAAAAGGAGATGGTCGGTTTAAATGCTTAAACTGAATCAGTGACGATGTTTCAGTGCTAACATCTTTTAGCCCTATTCTGAACATTAATGATAAGTAATTAGAAAATAATCTGTACGAATGGTATGTAATGAAAATTGATATGGGTAGCAGTTTGAGCGCTGTTTTCTTCATTCTCAAGTTAGGGACACGCCCACGAGTAAAACGCATGAGATGCCTTTTTACTTTCATTCATGTCATATCAACCTCTTTTCTTCCTTTGCCGCCTTCCAAATCTATGGTGGATAATAGGCTCTAATTTTCCTATTATTGGACTTGTAACAGATCACCATGTTTCACCTTTGAAAGGTACAAATTAAAGAACAAGCAACCATTGGAGGAAGGGATGTAACAATATAAAAGACCATCTTGGTAAATAGGTGATAAATTTAATGCAAGTAGTAAAAAAAAATACAATTTTTTTTAGCTTTAAGAAAAAGAGTAATGTTAATTCAGACTAGTTTCTATCTTTTTAATGTGCCCCTTGTAACTATGTTATTTTAGTTACATAGGAATTAGAGGCACCTGAATAGGGAAAAGAGAAAGGTGATCTAGTGAAGAATCCAACTTTTACATCAAAACGACCCTCAAATTTCAAAATTTTAATCCGTTGTCAATTGAGCCATTGTGTACCTGTGATGTGCTATTGGTTGTGTAGCCATCACTGCTAAAGTAATTTTCTCAGTCAAATGTCAAAGCACGTCAAGTGGGTCAAATCCACAACCCAAATTTCAGCAATAGATGTAGGTGAAAGATATGAATACACAATCATGGAGTCAATCAAATGAGGGTAGCACTTGGGTTCGCTTTCAATCTAATACCACTGACATTAACACCTCAAGGTGGTGATGAGACATGCACGATCTTCTTCAATTCCCCAATTTTTTTCCCAAGAGCATGCCTGTGTTATTTTCTTCTTGGCTATCAGCAAGTTTTATTAATAGTAGTAGTAACATTAATTAGTCTTGTCTTCATGACAAGGCTGATGAATGACAAAGATGGCCTAACTACTATTTTAAATTACGCTTGCCATTGCTTCTTTTGTCAACAAATATAGCGGGCAGAGACTAAAATTGGTGATCCAAATAACAAAATCATCAAACACACATATTGTGTACTATTGTTGATTTGAATTTGAAATAACTCTTGAATACATTTTTCTACACTTTACTCCTTTAATTCCTTCTTTCTGAGTCGGATCCCCAAAGACATTATATGTTGTTGACACTTCAAAATTGACTAATAATTATAGAAAAATAATCTTCAGTTCAGTTGGAGCCGCTTAAAGTTTCACTATAGTCAGTCATTGTTGCTTAGAGCTATGCTTCAATGCCACCCCATTAAGGTGGAGATTGATGGGAGTTATTTCAACAGAAGAGTTGGCACATTCAGTGATCTTAAAACATAAAGAACATTGAGCCAGCTGTTACTATGTAAATGGTTGTTTCATACCAAAGAAATTGAAAGTTTAAGATTTTGAGTCCTCCCACTTTATTTTTGAAATGTTAAACTGAATGTTGTCCAAAAGGGGGAAAAAGATCTTGGAGAAAAAGACTCTAGTGCTGTTTTCATGTCCGATGATAGTGCAATATTTCACGATTGATTATTCAGTGTAACAACTACTGGTCACAGTAAAATATTGGTATGCATAAATTACTTTATTTAATTTTTCTCCCTACCCTTTGATGTCGGCCAATAATAAGAAAAGGATAAAGGAATAAGATAATATGAGAGCTAAACATGCCTAACTCAGACCCACCACTCAATTACCAAAACACCATCATCTTAGTCAGCAAAATTTGCGTGCTTATTCCATTTGGAGCATTATAATGCTCTTTTAGCACCCTTCCACTCTTGCTAAATGAACCTTGGAACGTATATTTTATGTATAACAGGTAAAAAGAAAAGTTTAGTATAATTGGGATATTTTTGGATGTCTCGATCATGTGGCTAATTACTTCAGGATGTGGCAAAGAAATGGAAATGTACCAAAATTTGCATTATGAATCTGACTGTAACTTGTGATTGCTCCAGCAATTATCCGTTTTGATGTGTCTGTCTCTCTCTCATATAAGGATTGATGTTTTCTTAGCAAAGGTTAGCAAGAAAAAGGAATGGTATATGCTTTCTTGTCCTTGTCCTTGTTTCAATCTTCTTGCAGTCTTTCTCATAAAAACCCCACCATAGAAGCATTTTGTATGTGTTATTTTCCACTTAGGGTGCGTTTGAATGTGAGATTTCGATGTAACAAGGTATGTTTTTATTTTTAAATTATAAATATTATATAATATTTATAAAAATAAGCAAAACTAAGGATTTATGCTAATTTTATTATTATTATTATTATTTTAAAATATCAGATCAAAGAATATTTTATTATAAATTAACAACTTGTCATTATTTTATTTTATTTTTTAAAATCTTAACTCTCAAATATATCTTTAAAATAAATGCTATAGTCATCACTTCAAAACCATAAATGTGGCAACTTTATATTTTTGCTATTTGATTGAAAAATACATATAAAAAATTAGTAATACGCTTTAAAATATATATATATATATATATTTTAATACTAACAAAAAATTATTAAAAACAATTAAATTATGTAATTTCATTCTTTATTTAATAAAATGTATAAATTTTAAATAATAATAAACCGTTGGTTAAAAAAAAAGATTTCTATTCGCATAGAAGGATAAGTTCTAAAAAAATTAACGGTGCTCATGAGCGGTTTCTTTGTGGAGCAAGCACCGACAATGAACTGATTACTAGGATTAGTACAAAGCCAATGGATAGCCATGGGGAATGGGACTAAGAACTAAGTTCATGTTTTTGGTCGGTAAAGAACTAAGTTCATCAGTTTAGGAAAGTTGCATAATGGGCCTTGTGGATAAGATATGCCTTATAAATGGAAGGATGATTCTCAACTCTAGGTCCACTAGAGCCCAGAAATGGGGTATAGATACAGATATAAACATGAAGGTACAAAAGATACAGGATGATAGTGCTTCCACATCCACATATAGTCATATACATGCTTGTGATCTTGAAGGGGGGGGGGGATCATAGAATATACCTAAAATTGGTGCAAGAGTAAGTTTTGAACATAGAACCAAACCTTGGGAATTAAAATTAATTAACATGATATAACACCAAGATTTAGAAACTGTAACTTGAAGTATTTGTTGTTGATGCCTATTAGTTTGGTTGTGATCTCTTGGAAGTTGGTACCAACTTAAAAGGAGATAATGACATGAAAGAAATATCACTGTAAAACCTTGGACTGCAAATAGTAACTCTCTCACATTTATATCTCCCGATATGGTTATAATTGAACTAGATGGTACTATAGAATTTCAGATTAGCCATCAGAAACAGAATAATGTTGTCTACTTTAATGGAAGAATTATAATTGCTGACCTTCTCAATCAGAAGAAAATATATAATAATAGAGCTACAAAATGTAATTTATGGTTGGAAAAGTTATAAGCAAAGTAGTTCGTTCCTAGTAGAGTTTTATATGTTTGTTTCTTTCTTATGCAAGATTTAATAATTGATTAATTATATAAATAATGTGGGGGCTTATTTGGCCCCGCCAATGACCCAAGCAAATCAGTTAAACTCCTGGCCCCTTAAAAATAGTTGATTCACTTGATTGCTTTGTTTCATGTGGAATGTATGTGCAGTTCCCACTGTGCTACTCCTACTAATCCATTGATTACAAAGCAAGGCAAAAGCATATGGGTAGAAAGCAAACAAAAAGACCTTGTATTTAAATCTATAAATCCTATGATAATTGCTAATAATTATGAAGCATATATAGGTACACTCCAACTCCCCAAGAGGTCGGTCACCCCAATTCAATCGGTCCAACACCAAAACCATGTTCCTCTGCCACGTGGACAACACACGTAGATGATATCAGCATGAAGTATGATGATAACCCAAAAGAGAGAATAAATGTCTTTCACATTTTTACTATACACATCATATTACCTTAATACAAAGTGATCAAATTTAAACATAATATCCCATATTTTGTATCTAAAAACAGTAACAACATAATAATGCATATAAGTGTATCATGTACTTAACAACGTTCAAAAAATAAAAACTATCACATGTTTTTCTCCAAAAAGAGAAAAATCAAAGAAACTGTAAAAGAATCAGCCGCATCTTTCTCTCCAACACAATTTTGGAGATCCCGTTTTGGCGAAGTGGTACTACATCACGTTCCGTTACCCGCCGCCTTGGTTGCTTGCTTGATGTTGAGTGCTATGAATGATATAAAAAATTTGATGAAATAGTGAAATGTATGAGTATTGTATCGTATTTGTATGTGATTAACACCAACTTCAGTTTCACGTCATTCTCTTACAAGTCTATTTAGTCCTTCTCTCCCTCCTTTCTTTGCACTACAATTCTATAAATACCACACCATACCTTCATTCTTTCACCCCACTTTTCTTGCTCTATCTGTTCTTGCTCTTATAATGGGAGATAACAATGTCAATCTTCCACCCGGGTTTCGCTTCTATCCCACAGATGAAGAGCTTGTTGTTCATTTTCTTCAAAGAAAAGCATCACTTTTACCTTGCCATCCAGATGTCATTCCTGATCTTGATCTCTACCCATATGACCCTTGGGAACTTCATGGTATGTTATATTTATATATGTGATCCTTTGTTGATTTATGTCTCAATACATACAGAAAATTTCATTCCAATTTGAGTGGTTAGATTGCATGATAAACGGGTAGAAAGTAAATTGAAGTTGGTGTGTCTTAATTAATTATGGGTGGTTGTGCATTGATGCAGGTAGAGCTTTGGCTGAGGGAAAGCAATGGTACTACTATAGCAGAAGGACACAAAATAGGATCACTAGCAATGGTTATTGGATGCCAATGGGAATGGAAGAGGCAGTGGTTACAAGCTCAAGCAACAAAAGAGTTGGCATGAAGAAATATTATGTGTTTCATATGGGAGTAGCACCGGATGGTAACAGAACCAATTGGATAATGCAAGAATATTGTCTATTAGATTCTGGTTCCTCTAGCAGATCATCCAAAAGAAAAGCGCAACCAAAAACAGTTAGTACATATATAGTGCACACATAGTACATCAAAATTTTACCCAAAAATTAAATTTTGAAGTGGAAAGCTAGCTATCTTTGATGATTGATTTTATTTCATTTTTTGTCCCTTGTTGTTTGATTCAGGACCATAGTAAATGGGTGATATGTCGAGTTTATGAGCGGGATAACGATAATGATGATGATGATGGAACAGAGCTCTCTTGTTTGGATGAAGTTTTCTTGTCATTGGATGATCTTGAGGAAATTAGCTTGCCAAATTAGATGATGCAAGTGATGTTAATTAGTTAGCTGCTTATATATCCAAATGGGATATTTAAGCTAATTGTTGTTATCATTATTGTTATTTACCGGTTTTAGTTAAATCCTTAGCAGTTTAGCTGCCATTGTAATCAGCGAAGTTGCTATAGCTAGATTTCTATATAGAAGCTCTTCAAGTGGGGCACTAGGTGAAATTCATGGCCAAACAATATGCAATATGACGTTATGCTTTCAAAGATCCCATTCACTAGCACAGGTCACTCTTGGAAATTCTATGCTCTTAGTCCTTATGCCAACACGTGGATAATATTAATCACATATCTAGTATCCATTCTCAGCCATTAATATAGGAGTCTTTAATCTTGCAAATCCAAGATAAGATATGCAAAGGTCAATTTAATCTTCACTTTAATATATATGTTGCATGAAAGTTTGGTGCACTCAAAAGTTATTTTCATACAACAAAGAAAAAAGTAAGTGAATTTTCTTTTTGGGTAGAGTCAAGAGTGGGTTTGTAGGAGCAAGGATTATGAAATTGAAAGCCATGGGCCTTTCCTAAGTTGGGAGTTGGAATTCTCACGTGCAAGGATAGTGTTGAGAGAATGAGATTTATATTCATAAAATTTGAGGAGAGGAAGAAGATTGTGGAGCCCATTGAGCACTGTAAGGGATGCTTGTAACTGAACATTGGGCAATAGTCCTATTAGGCTTTATAGCTTTTGCCTACTTTGATGGTATTTGTTAGCTAGTTGTCTTGTGTCACAATACCAAGGGACAATTTATTTTCTTTTGTTTGTTTGTTTTTATTGCATATGGGTTCCTGCTGAGGGAAGCATCAAGTCATGTGTGATGCAAGCATTCGCATGCTTTAAAGCACCAACACGAGCACTATATTATATCCTTATATTGTCATCACAAAAGAGTGTGATACACCAGTCCATGATGCTTACCTCATTCATGAGGTTCTTTCTCTTCTCATATATATCCACTAGAACAGACAAGATAATGACTAGGAGCTTTGTAAGTTTTGTGACAAAAAACTTCGCGTACAATGATGGTTTAAAAATGAATCACAAATTGATGTGCCCAACAAAAAAAATTAATCACGAATTTCACAAGTCCATTATTAGTTGGTTATCTTCCTCATTAGCAACTATCTCAAATACAAGATCCGTTAATTAATGGTATGATGAAGCTTTACGTAATATTTGACATGATTTGACACCACGGTTAATGTTAGTAAAATGTTTGGGCCACGAAGAGAATAATAGAATTATAGCCTTTGATGGAAACAGTTTTTAGTTGACCCAATTTTATTTTATTTGTACTTTTAAAGGTATCTTTCAGCCAATTGCAGAAAATTTATTCTTTTTTAAATGTAAAGATTACAGAAATAAGTTTTACTTCTCCCAATAAATTTTGTTTCTATATAATTGATATGATATTCAGAAAACTCTAACGAGCATATTTAAAGAACTAATCTATTTGCTAACTATGGTGGATTTACTTAAGTGTCTAGACTAAAAGCAAATAATTGATGAATTGATATGGTATTTCCGAAAATATTAACGCAGTTCAAATTTGAAATGTACTGTGCACTTCTACATATATTTGTCAAATTTGGATATGGAAGCTTTATTTATAACCTCTTAGAAATTATCTAAATATCTCATGTATATCTAAGATATTTCTAACAGCTAGAATAGTCATATATAAATCTAATATTCGGAATCAATACAAGTTTTTTTCCATGTAAATACGCATATAATTTCAAATAGGAGAGTTACCGAACATATTAAATGAAAATGTTTTGTTTATGTAAGAATGTAAAAATAAATTTTAATTATTAAATTTTATTATGAACGATTAAAATTAAAATACATGAGTCACGTGAATTTTTTAAAAAGTTACATGAATTTTTAGAATTACCATTTAACTTAAAAAACTTTTAATCTTAATCACCTATGTATTGTTATATAATTCTGATTTATTATTTTCATTCTTGTAGGCATTATCACAATAAGCATTTCCACTCTAATGATGAGATTAAGAAAATTTATCATACTAAATGAAATACATTCCTTTAGATTAAGAAAATTTTGAATAAAAAATAAAAGCAATGAATTTTGTCACATATTTTAGTTAAAGTAGAAGTGACTTAACCTCTAATTCAACACTATCCCAAAAGATTAGTCTCACTTGCCAAGAATACTCTCGGAAAGTATAAAGGCAAGCTTTTAGAATATATACTATGTATAGTAATTCTCTAGCTAGTAATTACTTACATGTTTAGCTAATTTGTGAAACAATTAATGGTATTAATTAACAACATCAGCGTTGAAGTCATCTTATCGCAAAGATCCTTTTGGCAAAGGCATGCTTGATAATTGATATGTAGCAAATACCAAATAAGAAGAAAGTAAACAAGTCACTAAGACTACACTAATGGTGAGGGACCTTGGTACTTTATAGTTTATATGATGTTACAGATTCAAACTTTATTATGACCGTTGTAGTAAAAAAAATTATATGAAAGCAAAAGATAAATATACAATTAAAAGAAGGTAATACAAATAACAAAATGCTTTAACAAAATGAATAACCCTCAATAAATATTTTCATATCAAATTTAAAAATTGTTTTTGATAAGAAAAATTTGTGAAAATGAAATTTCAATATTCTGTCAAAATATGTATAAGCTTTATAGCATTAACTTTGTAATTTGCTTTATACTAATTAATTAAAGTAACGTGATAAGTGACATCTCACACAGCTACTAAGAAAAAGGATGAAACTATTCAACCTGTGTATTAAATCCACTAACAAGAGGAAATCGATTAGCTCTCATCATTTTCATTCAGTCTAATAACTTTTATCCTTCAATCTCTCCTACAACAGAGGCCCAGCATATATAGGAACAATATGAATGTCTTTAGCTATCTTCATCAACAACCCCATTCAGCTAGGAAAAATATCTTTGCATATATCAGACCACATTGCTATACAGAGATTGTCTTCCCTTCACTTTCACAATTAGGATAATAATAGGCATAACTACTACTAAAAAGCTGCAACGATACTTCTTCCAAGTCACATCGTAGAAGTGAATTTTCAATTAAAATGGTAATTTCTTTTTCTAAAAAAAATAGTTTAAAATCACATGGCTCATCTCAAAGTGAATTAAAATCTTAAGATAGAATCCAACATCGAAACTTACTACTTAAATGGAAAAAAAAATGGGAGGTTTGTCCTATCTAAGGATGTTTCCCTTCGATCTTCGTGTCCACGAGTTCATTGCTTGAAGAAACTATTCTACCCTCCCTTCATTGTTTCTTATAATAATACTATTTCATTGCTTAATCAGCTCGTAACCACTGAGCCTCCTAATCATCTCACTCGTGCTTGCTTATTAACATACCACATGTGAGTTGAGTGTGAGAGAGAGGTGTGATTTTCGGTGGCAACTTCAAAGAGACCAAAAGTCATCACTTAAGTTAAAAAGCATAATTATACTTTGTGGCTCTCAATCTCACAGAAACTATATGACCCGTTTGGACTTGGAAAGTTGAAAATGCCAAAATCAAATTGGAAGTCATTATGATTGTCTGTCATGAAAACACTCCCAATGGGCCTTTGTCTTCATCTTGTTCGTAAAGTTTTGGTTGTTTGCAACAAAATTTATGTGTATTGAAAGACACAAAGTGGAGGGCAGGTGTTTGAGAAGTACTCATCTATCCCAACCCTCTTGGCCTTTGGCTTGCTTGTTTTCTAGGAATTATATTTTTGCCCCCTTACATTGGCAAAAAGTGCAACCAGCAAGAATGATTGTGAGGCCAATACCTAGGTAGCTTTTGAGTGAAGTTAATTATACCAACCCATCCATGCAACCATCACAAGTCAACTTTAAAGTTCAAAATAAGTCAACCCCACACAAAGGGATTGCTCAAAAGGGAAAAGGCGTTCGAAGGTGAATTTGCTGAGTGAGAATTGAGTGTCCTAAAGGAAGAGAACTTGGGGCGGAAGGGACAAGGTCCTAACATTTAGAGGCACAAAAAGAGGCTACTGTGATTTTGCACTCGAGAACACTAGGAAATTCATACCCAAATAGTAATGAAAGATTGTTATTTACACTATCTTATTTTATTTTTTTCTCCTATTTACACCACCCTTTTTGTTTTTTGGTCCCTTTCAAAGTTTAATTTTTAAAATTATATTTTATATCTTTCAAAAATAAAATTCTAAAAAAGCGTTTAAAAATCACTTCCAGAATTTTGATTTCTAAAAGTGATTTATATTTTCTAAAAATTAAATTCTGAACGAACAGATAATAAGAAGTGGTGCAAAAAGTAATTCGTTGGAATTACCAAAGTACTCCAACATATTGTATAAAACCAAGTTTTGTTGTACACAAAAATTGCTTTGAGAGGGAAAAAAAGATCCGATGTTTGTGTTAAACTGGGTAGGAAGTGTAACTATGCACAACGTGAGGGACAGTAGAAAATTTAAAGAATAACCACATAATTCATAAAACTAATTACTTTTATATTCAAACTCAGAGAAGGTGCAATAATACATAAACATGCAGAAAATATATGTACAAATCTTATTTAATTACCAGTCATTGGAAGGTACAATCTCTTGTATAAGAAATCCAAATTCACATCGCAAATCCCCACAACAAGGATCTTTTATATGTATAGAACAAATGAAGCCTTCTCTCTGTCTGGATTACTATCCGGCTACTGATTCCCACCAGTATCCAATTCAACAGTAGTAAGCATTAAGTAATATCTTCTTTCAGTTTTCCTTTACTGACTAGTACAAAGCAGAACCCCAAATTATGGGACAGTTCTTCTCAGAAGAAAAAATTGTAAACATTAAATGTTAACCAAAAAGAGGGGTACCACTATGTGGCAATTAAGTCAAACTAGAAGCAAGATGATCTGCAACAAACAAATAACTTCCTACAATCATAAATGATGCCAAACCAGAGCGAGCCATCCGCAAACCAATGCCGCGGAACAAAACATTCCTGTCAGATGGATGGATCCCCGTAATTCTTTCAAACTTGTTTCCTGGTCGTTTCCACTTCATAAGCCTCCTCTCCACTGAGACATACTAGAACCAGACAAAGTGTGAAATGATATCAGATCAGTTCCAATTTAGAACACATGAAATAACAATTTTTATTTTACGTAATTGAGATATTATTCAAAGTTTGGCATGACATTGTAAAGTATTAGCACATAAATTTTAAGTAAAAAAGACCGGTATGATCCACAAGTGAGTTGTGAATATGAAGACACAGTTTTCCTAAGCTTACCGACCATTGAGCCAGCTATGTTTAATGTAGTTAGTTTTGGACATTATTCAAGCTTTTTGGCCCACTATCTTTAGTTTTGAAGTTTGATTTTACTAACCAAATACCAGTACTAAACTTTTGGGCAGTAAGTGTAGAAACATAAAAACTTGATGACTATCAGGACAGATAGACTATGCTATTGTTGCTTGTTGGGACTTTAAGAAAAAGGTTTTGATTTTGGACCTAATATGGGAAAGGATAATTTTTACAGCATCTTCGGCATATGGTTTTCTTCTCCTTGGTTGAAATGCAGATATTAAACTTTGAAGAGATATTATGTATTAATGTTGTGTTTGTTTTGTTTAGTTTAAGGATACTATCTTAGCCTTCTTGTCCATCATGTTCCTTCTATCCAAAAAATTATTATTTTTTGGGTCAGCAAAAATAAGCAATTCTTAGTGCAAAGAATATTTCTATAAATACCCAAATCATGATATAGAAAATAATCTAACAGAACCTTTTCCTGTTTCTGATTAAAATTAAGGTGTGACATGTAAGAGTAATCAAAACAAGACCATAATTCACACAATTCTCAAACATTTTAGCAATAACTAGTAACATTCATACCTTTGGCAGCACAGTACATTGTGATCTACTTCTTGTGGTATCAAAACCATGGGAAGCAGCAGCAGCAACTGAAGCTGAGAATCCAGCCGCAAGACTTACGGACAAAGTAGACAATGGGCCAACTTCTTCATTTAATCTGGGTCAGGATAAGCATACTTATACAAAAAGGAAAAAAATAAAATAATTTAATGCATCAAGAATCCAACAACTCCCAGACCTTGTTGTAGATAAAATCAGAGAAAGGATCCCATGAACACCCAATCAAACAAACAATTGAGCACATGTAATTGCCTAATGGTAACGGGTACTTCTGGTGCATATTACTCATTTAATTGGAAGTGCAAGTGCAGAGGATAAGGTATCCATTTAAAAATATCAAACAGAAAATGAAAGACAAGAAAACACATAAACCTACTCCACAGTTCACTGAATAGGGCCTCAGAATAAGCAATTTCTATTGGATATGAAGGTTATTACAACTCAATTAATGTAGTAGAAAATCTAGACAAAATGTTGAACATCATTAGCTGTAGTGTGACCACTCCCCAATAGCCCAATCAGATTTATTTACAAAGCAATTTTTCATAAAGACAAACATTAATAAACACAATAGAACGATGAATGATACAAAAGAAATGTTCATTTAATTAATGAATAGGGAATGAACCTGGGTGGAGGATTCATCCCAGCAGCCTTCCAATCTAGCATTGCTTGGTGCAAAAATTGCCAAGTTGAAAAAAATATGCCACCAAACACGGAATCTCGAACAATTCCAGACCGGAGACCTCTCCATAACGTGCTCCATCCTTCCAAAGATATAATGTCTGATGGTCTCTTGACATTCCAAACTGCTGGTGGCTTACCAGATCCCATCATTGTCCATGGATTCTCTAGCAAAGCACTAGTCATTTTAGTATTTTTGGTGGTTAGGGTGGAGATGAGACCAACATATTGGTTCAAGGATCTCTTGTCTGGATAACAGCCATTAAGTAATCTTGCAATTAAAGGGGTACGAGCCCCCTTTTCCAAAGTAAAGTTAGAACTTGGAACATATGAAGCAGAGGTAACCTGCATACGAAGCTTGATGAGTTCAAATGGAGAGCTTATGATTGTCTCTATGGCACCAGCTACCACGCCAGCCAAAAGAGCCTCAGAAGCGAACAAATAATTATCTTCCCGACCATCTGCCAAAAATATACTTATAAGCACCCAAATCATTCTCCACCAAAAAAAAAGCACTGTAAAATTTTAATTTGCAAATACCAGTCTCTATGGAAAAGTATTGTTTTAAAAAAAAAAAGTTAATGGCCTTGGGGTAAACAATCAAAGGGCATCTCAGAATTAGACGATGCTACCCAATCTACCGTCTTACCTAAACTTAAATCTTGAATTACCAATGTGAAGAGAAACATGTCATAAGCATTTAAAACAAAGTAGTGCTATTTTCTTTTATGACTATTTATGAAACAGATGAAACAAAAAATAATAATCATCAAGCAAAAGGATGCAAAGAAAAACATAGGAATTAATTACCTTTATAAAAGGCCGTCAGGATTTCATAAACCCCAAATCGTGCTCCGAGACCAAAAGTTCTTCCAAGTGCCAACCAGCCAAAACCATTGAACAAACCTAAAATGCTCAAATATTACAACTCTACTTATCCAGCAAAGAAACACAGACAACTATCATCACCCAACATTCCCATCTCAGCTGTGCATATACACATTAAATCTAGTTCCATTCAACACGTAAAGTATTTATCTTGAGCAACTTATTATTCAGTATGCTACACCCCAACAATAAAAGGGCATTACCTGCATTACCAGACCAAGAGAGTACCCTCATCAAAGCCTGGGCAGCATTCAATTCTTTACCGGCACTGGAACCAACCTTTGGAAAGTTTAAAGCAATTGAGAAGACATTGATTATGATACAAAAAGAGAAGGAGGGGTTGAAAAGGTGGAACCTGAGAGAGGACTTTGATAGTGTCAAGAGGGTAAGTGAAAGCTGTGGCTAAAGCCACTGAGGCAGTACTAGCAACCCCATGAACAACGATTGTCTGGTTAAGAGATAACTCCTCCATCTTAACATCTACGTTAAAATCATAAAATTTATTGGAGAAACGTTACTTGCAAACAAATTATTTAAGTTTAGAAATAGAAACCCACCTGAAGGATGTCTGTTCCTGCGAGTTGCTACCGCCGCCGAACAAAGTACTGTCTTCAGGGGTTGCTGTTGCGGTCTCGATTTGGGTATTACTTGGCAGCACCAGACCCAAGCCTACAGCATCTCTTTTTTTTTTTTTTTTTTTCATTTTTCCATTTAATAAAAACGGTGTCGTTTTAGTGTTGTTGTATCTTTAAAATAACAACAAAATTATTCGGGAAAAATTAATCATAGAGGGTAGTCTTTCAAAGTTACATGTACTGTATAAGTTTTTTGTTTTAACATTTTAATTACTATATTAGAAATTTCAAGATTAAACATATAAAACACTAATTCTTCAAATATTATGCTATCAGATTAACTGTTTAATAATTTAATTTATTTTGAGTTATTCTTTCAATAATCTAAAATAAAAGATGAAACGTTAGTCTTATATCCTAATATTACAGATAAATTTTATCGTTATAATTTACGTTTAATATTTTGTATCTTAATTTTAAATTACAGATGTATAAAATTCTTTGTTTATAATTTTTTTATTTTTTATATTTTCATCTCCATCTATAAATTCATTAGTATTTTAGTTTTAAAAAAAAATTCTTAATTTTTTGTTTGTAACTTTTGGTCTGGACATGCTACACGCTAAGTAAAAGTGTTTGTTGTAACAATTATAGATATATTTACATATGAATTCTTTCCAAAAATAATTTTTTTTTTCAAATTTTAAGATATATTATTTGTAAATCTATTTATAATACAAATAATTTTTTTATCGTCCGTAAAATCTATTTAACAGTGCAGCACAGAATTTGTATTTCTCCGGGTTCGAAAAAAAAAATTGCACCTATTTCTCATTATCAAATTCTCTTATTGCATTGCACTTCCTACATGGAAATTGGAATAGACTCTTAAAGGTACCAAAAAAGAAGAAAATGTTAGATACGTGTTTGGAAGCAAAATGGGCAAGAAGATTCCAAAGAGCATTTAGGCATTGCAAGGTTACCATTCTCTGCTTCGTCCTCACCATTGTTGTCATGAGGTGTTCATGTGGTGGATGAAATGTGATCTAATGTTCACGGACATGGCGTTTGAAGTGTCGTGGGACAGGTATAAAGACGATAATTTGGTGATGAATGGGCGGAGTGAATGACGTGATTTATCGCAAGAGGAATTGGATTGGGTTTTGGGGTGTCTTTGCCAAATGGATGGTGGACTGCACTTATCATCAAAGAGAAAATAACAAAAACCTAATGATTCTCTGCTCTGTTTATTCTTTTCAGACTTTAGATATCTCTATTTTCATGAACTTTATACCAAAAGCATTACCGACACAAGCAAAAATGTTATAAAAAAACTAACTAGAGGTATATATGATTCTGTAAATTTTTAGCTTTCATTATTGTGGATCTCAAATGTTGGAAAATGGAATAAAAGAACATTTATAGAACTAATATCATATGGTTTGAAATCTCTTATTTCACGCGTGCCATGAGTGTTTAACTGGGTCCAAGTTTAGTTCAGTGACGAACCTATTCCGTGTCAATTTTTTTCATCGCCGATAAAGCTAAACAGCAAAAGAGACAATAATTTCCCTCATCAAATGATTCTCTTGCTGTTGCCAAAATCTGATTGAATTCCAATTAACAGTGCAGTGAATTTGATTCCCCAAAACAACGGCAAATATTAAACACAATCTTATGTCCTCACATGAAACTGAAAAGCGGAAAAATAGAACTCGAAGTATGGTGAAAACAGAAAAACATCAAAATGAAAGCAGGAATGGAATGGAATAAGGTGGTGCTCAATCAAAATTGAGGAGGAAAAAAGAGTACCTGCAAGACTGGACAAGTGAATCTCTGTTGTGGGATACCAACTCTCTATGATTTTTCTCAAAAAAGAGATCTAGGATTTAGAAGAAGAATAAATCTGGTTTTCAAAATTTCAATCCGATTTTGATTTTTTGGAATCAATTCAGACTTAGATTTTTATTTTTTTGTACTGATTAAATTTTCTGATTCTTTATAAAATTTGGATTTTTAAATCCGGTTGAGCTTAGTTAAAGAAGATGCTGGGAAAATGTTTACACATGAAAGAGGGCTTTTAATATTTTCACCCAAGTAAATTTTATTGGCTAGAAATTATTTTTTTAATTTAAATTTACTTAAACAAAACAGATTTAGATAATTTTCATATAAACCAAAGAAGATGTAGACACAATAATTTGACCAAACAACTCTTACAAAATTTGTTAAGGCTTAATATTTTTAATTCCTATAAAAATAGCACTATGCTTTGTTGCCAAATTGGAAAAGAAATTGAAATAACTAATTATCCATTTGTTGACAAACAAAGAAAATGCATTAGCAACTTTGTTTTCAGGCCTTTATAAATTACCTTAAATTAAAAGTCAAGTAATTTAGCCAATCAGTTTTGTTTATATACAAAAATTACTTATTAACGTTTAGTCCTTACATTTTTAAAATGTAAAAATTTAATCCTTCTCATTAACTATATTTTGTTAAGTGATAAATTTAATATTAAAAAAATTAGTTCATCGTTATCCTCTCAGTTATTTTTTATATTTCATAATTTTAAAATTAATTTTTACAAAAAAATTTCTAAAACTATTTATATTTGTAAAAAAATTATTCTTCAATTTTTATAAAGATTTTTTTATAAAAATAAATTTTTAATAATTTGTTATAAAATTTAATTTTTAAATAATAAAATATAAAAAATAATTATAATATGATGATAGTGAATATTAGTTATTTAACTTATTGATTAATAAAATATAGTTAAATTAACTATAAAGATTAAATTTTTATATTTTGAAAAAAAAATGAATCTTCATAAATTTTATTTTAAAAATTTATCACAAAATATGTTATTTTTATAGGAAAAAAATAATTAAATTTTTTTAATTAGTTAATTTCTAGAATGGCCAACATAGAGAAAGGAGCATTTTTTGACCTGTAAAAGAAAGGAGGATTTCACTAACCCTAATTCCCAGAGGCACTTAGAACCCTTCGACCGTACTTTCTTCTTTGCTTTCTCTCTCATTAGCTTCCCAGGCGAGATGGTAAGTCCCTCATCCCTCCTATTGAGCAATTCCTGATCCATCGCAATGCAGTTTTAACACCGTGTTTTGCAGGTTAACGTTCCGAAAACAAAGAAGACATACTGCAAGAGCAAAGAGTGCAGAAAGCACACACTCCACAAGGTGACGCAATACAAGAAGGGAAAGGATAGCATTGCGGCTCAGGGTAAACGCCGTTATGACCGCAAACAGTCCGGTTACGGTGGACAAACTAAGCCCGTTTTCCACAAGAAGGCCAAAACCACCAAGAAAATTGTGTTGAGGCTCCAATGCCAGGGTTGCAAACATGTCTCCCAACACCCTATCAAGAGGTGCAAGCACTTCGAAATTGGCGGTGACAAGAAAGGAAAAGGAACCTCTCTTTTCTAATCTCTTCGCCCTTTTAATTTTGCAGAATTACTTTCTATTTCACAATTTTAAATTTGCATTTCCATTTTCTTTCAGAACTGTTATAATATCAATAGCTAGTTTTTTTTTTTTTTTTTCCATTTAATTGTTGCAATTTCATCTTATGTATTACTTTATTGGAACCCTAATCGCGCTAGTGAATCCATCCCGCGCTTCATGGACAATATAGCTATTGGTTTTCAAACAATTGGTGTAATTTTTTCTAAATTGAATTGTGATTTGTCGGTTTATTGTCGCGCTGAAACAATTATCTTTGCCCTTGAATTTGGGAAATGAAATGCATTGTGTCGATTGTGAACGCATAAGAATTGAAACCAAACCATAATGCGGTAGATTTTTTTCGTCCTTTGTAAATGTTTTCTTGCTGTTACATTACAGTTTTGTGAGTGATCAACTGGAAGGAGTTAAGAAACGAGCATTTCTACTGGGGTCAGTCCAAACTAGTGAAAGTTATTTTCTATTTAATGATAATATTGCCCATAGTATTGTGGATACTGTCCCATGTAAGTATTATTAGATTGTAGTTTCGTGAGTGCAACTTGTCCTTGCATGCCACCCCTTGCATATTGCTGCCACATTACATGTTCCTCCATTAATAACCTCTGTTTCATCTCCATCTCTGACATTTGCACGTAAGATGGAGGTGCTATGGCCAATGAAGCGGCAAAAGGATCTGCACTTGCTGAACTTGAGCCACTCCCTGATGTTGGTGGTGCTGGCAATGCTAGCATTGCTGGCCTTCCAGCTGACCCTAGTGCTACACTGCTGGCACTTCCACTTGTTCCATAACTTAGTCCTTGTGTAGCTGCATTTGTTGCTGCTTGTTTATACATGCCATCCAACAACAATGTGTCAAAGCCACCACCTAATGAACGCTTTTGGTTTGACCAGTTGCTAGCAGATTGGACCAGTGCTGTTTCCCAATCTGCTGCATCATCATCGAAAGCGTGCCATGGAAGAGCTTGGGTGGCACTTGTAGCTGGTGCAGCGCCATCAAACAATGCCAAGGCTAGTTTGTCCCCGTGTTCTTGACTTGTCTCCATATCGTCTCCTAAATTCAATAGATCACCCTCTGTTTGCACCAATTTTTCTTCCTTTGGTTCTTCTTCCTTTGTTTCTTCGACTACTTCTACCGGTTCTTCATGGAATTCTTCTGGTGGTGGTAGTGCCTTGATTGCATTTGGATCCTCCTCTGGTTCAGCTTCTTCTTCCTCTTCGTTATTTTCCTCTTGGGTCTCAAGTTTCTTGTTTTGTGCTGAGAGGGACTTATCTTTGATGTACTGATCTAAGATCTCAAGCTTTTTCGTTGTGACCCTCTCTATCTCCGGGTACTCGGAAGAGCGTGCTATTCCAATAGTCTTGGACCAGCTGTACAACATGTCTAACTCATCATACTGCTTTCCAACACGACAAAAAATCTCGTACACCTTTATGCATTCTGGTATCTCGAATTCAGTGAAACGATCAATTAAACTACGTAGTATTTCTGTCATGTCATAATATATTTCGAAACTCTCCTTCACAATAGGGTAGAGGGCAACTATCACAATTCGATGTGTCTTTGCTCGCCCTGTTAAATTGAAACAGTCGTGAGATTACCATTTATGCTTGCGGATGTAATTATGTGAGGCACATTCTGTGTTTGCATTAACGGCAAGAGTGCATCGTTACTCATCTTAATCAAAGTTACAAATGGATGCATTGCTAAAAGAGCATTTAGGAGTAACTATAGGAAGAATGTGCATTGATGTACACTTACCAGGATATTTTGTAATGAAAAATAATGAGCTGTTTAATCAAGAACAAAGCTATTCAATTTCAAATTTAGAGTGCAAATATCATTACTATATACCTTCTATTGCGAAATTCCTTAGAATCAAACTAATGAAAATTAAAAATTTTTAAGCCCAACATGAAGAATGTGCATCTTTTATCATGGCATTTTTTAAGATGCATCCTGTTTCTAACTAATAGCAAAGAAAATAATGAAGAATTTTAGGCAATATGGAACACTTTCATTTGTTTTAATAATTACAAACCTGTGGGACGGCAAGCCAAAAAGCGCTCAAGCAGCAATTGCAAATGTTGCATTTTGGAAAATAGTTGCTCGGTCGTCATTTCACTAATTGGTATGGATTTCACAGCGATTTCTCTATCCTTATCTCTTTCTCTTTCTCTTTCTCTATCTTTATCTCTATATCTATCTCTTTCTATAGGTTCATCCTCATCCTCATCATAAGCAAACCTGCTACGCTTTCCACGCTTACTTTGCATCCTGTACTCCAGCCTTTCATCTAGGTATAATGCATAAGTGCGCACAAATGCAGACAAGTCCCATGAGTTAGATTTCGACTTGTCTCGGAAATCAGACATGTTGAGGAGGCGAGTCCCACGCCGAGTTGCGAAGAAAATTTCTTGCTCATAAGCAGGATCACCTTCTGACAACAATCTTTGAATCAAAACAAGTGTTTTCAAAGCCACTGTCCAACTGCTAGTCTTGCTGAGACGCCTTGAGAGGGTGTTTACACATGCACTGATGAATGCCCGAGAGTAACATGTTAAGCTCAGAATCTCCCTAATGTGCCTCTCTTCAGCTGGGTACTCATCATGCCTCGTTGCCTTCACAATGGCCACGTCAAGGTCAGCAAGTGAGGCGCTGCTTCCCACCTTTGCTAGGCCTATACTTGTTTGATCCTTCACTGCTCCAATGGCTCTTCTGAATGTGCTTTGAGACATTATTTATTTTTAAGGTATAGGACTTGCTTCAATTCGGTCTACCCGGGCTATGAAATGTTTTTCCTTTTTTGTTGAATTTGGTTGAATATGACCTTAATAATTATGTCGAAAATTGTTCTTCCTGAAAATTTGTCGAGTCACTTGTTAGAATTTGCACATAGGATACTTTAAGTTATTTGGAGCATGAAAACTTTTCCTCACTGCATAAATTTGCGGCATTATATATATACAACATAAAACAGAAAAGTATATATGCGTTACATGCATGAAGATACTTGCCTGAATAGCGCCGGAGGGCCAATAATTATGAGAAAATTGATAATAGTGGCATAAATCTCAACTGCTTATGGGTATATTTGCATGAAAAGAGAATTAGAAACCCAAGTAGAAAAAGATTTCCGTGATGTTTAGAGGGAAAAGAAAGAGGAAGGATAGATAGTCGTTTCTCTGTGTTCTCTCTTCCCACTTCCTTTCCCTCTGTTCTTCCCTGGGTCAAGCATTATGACCAGGCTCAAATTGGCCAACCATAGCCCGTTTTTGTAGCATGAAAATGTGGGAGCCAAATGAGATGTCATAGCTGTGGTCCACTTTTGTTATCAAACCTTGTTGGTCTATTTTTTATTTTTATTTTTTTGCAATTTCATTATTTAGTTATTGTGCATTGTCCCTTCTTGTTGCTAACAAATAAATAAATAAATGAGATGCCATGACATGAATTCACTAACCTTGAATGCTTAGCTTGCATTTTCTCATGATCCTCTGACTTTTTCAAGAGTATCCTAACCAATTTAAGCTGATTAATTTTCCACCTTATATTTTTTTTTTTCTTCCCACAATCCAATTATATATCATATTAAGTTAATTGTAGAATTGATGATCCCTGTGATCATTGAGCAGATAATGTAACATCTGATATTGATGTCTTTCACAGAATTTTTGTGTGGATAAATTCAAAGTTTCTTGAATGACATAAAATTAGGTTCTTTTAAAGTCCGTCAAGTATCAACTTTCTCGTGAAGCTTTACTATAATTTTAATTTGATATTTTTTTATATTAAATTAAAATTTGAGAATGAGCATATATTCTTTTAAGAATGACTAATGTTATTTTTATTCTTTTAATTTTGAATTTAATTTAAATATATTGACAGTTTAATTTTATTTTTTACACAACCACTCAATTATAAATTGTTATATCGATGAGAATAATTACTTTTATAATAATTGATATAAAGAACATATTTAAAGTGTACTTTAATTAATATACTAAAATAAACTCTTTAAATTTTAAGAATAAAAAAAAACTTTATTTCTTTTATTTATTATTATTTTGTATTTTCCTTCCTCATATACTAAATTAATCATTAATGCACCACAATTTAACATAATTCATTATAATTGTATTGTTTCATTCAACTTTTAGTTTAACAAATTTAAATTTTAAGCTTAAAAAATATGTTAAAAAAAGTAGTTTGTTGAAATATCATACTATACACATATGAGAACATATATGGAATGATGCACGAGACATTAAAATTAAGACATGCACATTAGAGATAAGAGTCGGAGAATAGTTTACCATATTAGATCAGACCATATCTATGTTGAGTAATTATTTTTTTTATGGAAAATTACACAATTGTCATTTTTTCAAGTCCAAAAAGTTTATTTTAACATCAGTAAAGAGGTGAAAATTTATTATTTATCATTGCTATGCACTCTATTTTAAATTAGTTTAGGGTGATGTTTCTAATTTTAAATTAGTTTCATAATTTCCACCATATATAGCAAAACCACATTTTGTTTAAAAAAGAACAAATTAGTTACTTTTCTAAATTAGTTTCTTAATTTCTGCCATGCCTAAACATTTGGTTGTGAAAAAAACAAAATAATAACTTTTAATAGTATATGGTTTGTTGGCTATTTTAGACATGAAATGAAACATTCCATCAAGTCATGGGTATAAAAATGGTCATGGGATGAAAATGTTAAAATCCAAGTTAATTTCAGTCCCTACCACCATTTAACAAAAGCAATCTGAGGATGACTACATCAGTGAGAAGGCTTCTTCCATTTGCCTACGTTGTGGTCATAATTTTATTCATGGGTAAATTAAATTTCATACCCTTAATATTTGATTAAAAATATGTATATATGTACAAAGAAAAAGAAAGAATGAGTTTATACTATGAATTGTACCACTAATATACAACGTATAATTAATATGTGAAGTTAATTGAAATTGAATCAGGATACGAGAAAGAGATGGTTGAGGGTGCTGTCATGGACAGTGCAACTTTGATGGGTGAGTCAAGTGCAATGAAGTGCTGCTTTGACAACCATATAGGGAAGTGCGTTCCGGGTACACCAGACGACGACAATTGTGATGTCGTTTGTAGAAAGCACTGCTCCAAAGGAGGACATTGCAAAGTTCTTAGCAGGAAACCACCAAATCATTTTTGTCATTGTCTCTGTTAATTTTCTTTTACGTCTTTTTAACATTCGTATCTTCCTCAAGACGTAATAAGAAATTTATATACAGTAAATTTACGTTAAAAATAATAAAATTTAACGTATTAATATTATTAAATATAATAATTTTTAATAAAATTTACTATTTCAGTGTTTCTTGATTTCTCTTGAATATATTAAAAGCAATGTTTCTTTTATTGTCTTTCATCAACGACAACTAGGTGCTGCATGGTTTGTAAGATCTGGCCAGAATGTTTTTTTCTTATTCAAATCGTAGAATTTCATTTTCAGCAATCCTACGTTATTTTATTTGTGTTTTTAATGAACTAATCAAAGGCTCACCCAAGATTCTTGGCTTTAATGCCAATAAACTCCTTCACAGTGAGTCAGAAAACAGGGCATAGAATTAAGAATTAAAGGAGAAACTACGTGATCTAATAAGGGCTATAGAAATTAACATTGTGAGGCTTGTAACTTCATAGTGCATAAATATGCTTTATAAGTCCTTTTGCCCTCATTGACAAGGTAACAAAAACTCCAACTTCACGTGTTTCCTTTATTCAAATTTAACAAACTTGAAAATCAGTGAGAATTTAGCATGAAAATCAACGATTATTTTTAAAGTTGGGTGAATCATCTTTGATAAACCCCACATCCCCACGATATACCCGCACCTGTAAATCCTAATCATAATTAATCATGTTCCATTATACTTTAAAATGAAGCTATTCACTGTAGTTAAATAAACAAATAAATATGAGAAAGAATAGCCCTCACAGCATGAAACGAACTATTTGTTCAATTCAAACAATCCCAATACAATTCAAATGTGATTTGAAGTACAGTTATACTCTGAAACCAACAATTGATTAAAAGAACAAATTCAGCATCTCAAATTTCCAAAGAGTTTGTTTCATTGATTCATATATTATTTTGATGAAAAATCAAAATCTTAAAATTTCAAAGATTATTGGGACTAAAAAACAAAAACATGAAAAAAATATAAAGTTTATTTTTTTGTTCCCATCCAGTTTAATCCAGATTTGACTTAAATCGCGTACTTGATGTGGTGTATGAGCTTATCATTGAAATTTTTTTTTTCATATATAATGACTCAAACTTGAGACTTTACTTAAACGATACCTAGTCACTTGCTACTTCAATCAACCTTTATTGGTATAAAGTTTATTTTTATATTTAACCTTAAATTTAAAAATAATTTTTATGTTATTATTTGTTTTAAAATTATTTTACAATTTCTTATTATATCTCTCTATTACACTTATTAATTAATCAATTTTTAATGTATGTTAAAAAAAGACAATAATAAATACATAAATAATAAATATTTATCAAAAACTATATTTAATATTATCAATGCTTCAAATTCTATGATATTCTGTATTTTTTTAATAAGAGATTATTGTACATAAATTTTTATTACATACTTTTAGATACACATTAAAATTAATTAACTAATTTTTATTTAATTTTAACTGAAGGATATAATTAATAAAAATAATTATTGTTATTTTAAACTTTAAAATAATAAATAACTAAAAAAATTTAAAGTGACAAATAAAACAAAAATAGAGAGAACTTTGTAAAAGAAAAAAAACATTTATGATTGTTTCTTAAATATGCCTAAGCATTTATGATTGCTATTCTTAAATATACTCTATTTAATAGCATCATTTAGTAGGTGATATTTAATGTTATTAATTTCTATTTAATTATAGACGATTGTTTAAACTTAAAGGGTGTATTTTTATTAACCTCAATTCTAAGCAACTATTAACAATAAAATATTATTAAAAAATAAATATTTATTAAACTTTTATAACTTTAATAAAACAAATGTGCATTTTTTTAATAAAATTATTATTTTTTAAAATAGTTTACTCTCGTTGACTTTTTTCTTTCACTTTTTAACTTTTTTTTTAAATTAAAAATTTCACTTTCTCATTTTTTAACTTCTTTTGTTTTATACTTTAATCACCTCAATCTCAGCTAAACTATGTTGGGTGAAAAATTGATACTTTAACTTATTTTATTAAAAATTAATATTATAATAATGGGTGAAATTATTTCTTATTATGTAATTTAATTAACACAATTTTGTTGGTAATGCACGAAAACAAACACCCCAGTCCCACCCCTATTTGCCTATAAAAGTGTGACAATCCCAGTTTTGGTCGGCACCAATTAACTAAACTATATTGAAGATGGCTACACCAGCGAGAAGACTTTTCCCCCTTACCTGCTTTGTCGTCATCATCTTATTCTTAGGTAAATTCTACTTAATGCTGTAAGAAAGTTTCGTTCAAATCTTTGCTCTCTGAGAATATGTGTTGTGTGTTGACGACAAGATTTCTCTTTCAATTCTTATGCCATTGTTGCAAGTGACTTTATCAGTCAAACCAACCATATTCAATTAAAAATTGGCTCTTCTGTTAATCGTGTCTTTCAGTGGAGTTTATCCAAATTTCTATGTCTAATAATTACAAAAAGGTAAAACATTTCCAAAGT